ATATAATAATAATACTAATAATAATACTAAATAATACTAATAATAAAAAATTTAGAAAACTCATTCTATAACAATACATTAGCAAAATTTATATATAAATATATATCGATATATATCAATTAAAAATAATTGATATATATCGATAAAATAGATATATATCGATATATATCAATTATTGATATATATCGATATATAGATATTGTTCAATATATAGCTATTAAATATTATGTATTATTATTAAATATTTTGATAAATATCAATATGTAGATAACTATCGATATATATCTTATATATTGATAAAATTTGATATATGTAAATAATCGATTTATACAAATTTATATTGAATATTATTGTTTTTAATTTTATTGCTTATGTGTGATTATCGATATCTATTGTTACATATCATGTATAATTATACCAGGAACGAATACAATGAGTATATAGTTTGTATGCTGTTTGAAGCGATATTTGTTTGCAAAATCTTAAGTTTTTTTGGTCCGTATGACTTATTTGTCAAATTTTGTTTATTTTTCACATATAAATTTATCACACATATATATATGTACAAATCTACTATTTAATTATATTATAATTTAAACTTCAAATAATCGCAAACATAATAATATTGCAGTTGCAATAACTGCCAATATTAAAAGTATTAATTTTATATACAAAAATTGCTAACTCAATTTGATTTGATTTGTCTATTTACTGATATTTTTTATTTTTATTTTTTTTTTTGTAGAATATTTTATCAGGTTAATAAAATGATAATCACTGATTTTTAAAAAAAATTGCAAAATGTTTTTAAATAACAGAAGATTCGATTATGGCTTTATAATATATAATTTGATCTTTAGTATTAAAATTATCGATACTTTCAATTGTTTGTATTAAATTTTCTTCAGATTTTTCTTCCAAATTATAATCTTTATTTTTCATATCAGCAAGTTCAATATTTGATGTGGTATTTTCAAGACTTGCTTCATTATGATTAGTTGTACTAGTTTAAACAATTTGATCAAGTCTATTTTCTTTATTTTGAACAATATAATGTGAATTCTTTCTTTCTTATACAATATACTATTAAATGTATGTTATTTTTTGTTGCTCGTTTGTTTATAAATTTGTTACGCTATAGTGAATAGATATTTGCAATAATGATCAGAATCTTTTGTTTTTAGCAGAATTTGGCAGAAGTAGGTGGTATTAACATAACTTATTTAGCAAAAATAGTTAATTTCGATACAATCGATCTTTTTTATTTAACTCAAACAATTTGCGTATATGTAGTTTATAGTTTTATTTGTAATCAGTGACTCTTAAATTGCTTAATAATATGTAATATATAATTTATAAATTAAGGGTTAAATTTTAGCTATCGCTTACATAATTATTACATTGTCTATCTCTAATTTGAATTTGTCTTTACCCATTATACAATTAATTGTTCAATGACAAAACTATCTGAGAATAATCGAACGCTTCAACAACTAATAATGGTTCTTTCTTTTATAGCTTAGAATAGTTACTTTTTTTAATCTTTATCGCCTATATATCTCATATAGAGGCTAAAAAAAACTTTTTATTAAATGTTTTGTCTGTTATTATCATATCATTTAGTAGCAAAAATTCATGTAAAATGTTATCAAAAAAAAAAACCTTAACGCTAAAAATTAAATCAGTAGATATGATAATAAGAAATATCATGTCATATATAAATATTATAATAGGGTTGTGGTTTACTTCACTTGATATTAGAAACTAGTTTGATGATCCTAATTTTTGATAATGCATGTGATCTATAAGGCTTAGACTATATTGCTGGAAGCTTCTAGTGATGATAATGCAAATGCAAATGAAGGTTCGTGAAGAAATAGGGTAAAAAAGAAAGATCTGTGTTCAAAAAGAAAAATAAGTAAATCCTTATTGGCTAAAGAGAATCCGTTAGTAAAAGTCTCTTCTAAGTAAAACTTATAAAAGTATGGTAGTTTCATCTTGGTCAAAGTAGATAACCTATGGGTTATAGATATATTAAACACCCTGTAACATATTTTTCTTTATAAAAAAAAACTCAATTCTTGAGTTCTTTTATAACATTTTATTGATCTTATAATAAATCCTGTTTTTTTTAAAATTATATAATATAATCGCCTTATAATCAATTAAAAAAAAAAAAGATGCCTTCTCATGTTGCACTTCTTGTTGCTATTATTTCTGCAAGAAATAACTAATTGTGTTCATATGGCCAAGCCAAGTATAATCTTACCAAAAAAATATTGCAAGTAATTAAGTAAAAATACTTTTTTTCTCCTAATGAGCAGCCTAAAATATTTACAGGAGGTGATTTAGTTTTTATTTTAGGTAAATTTGTTGTTAAAAATTCCAAACAATGTATTACCATCACATATACAAGTATTATCGATAATAATCTTAGTTGTGAGTTTGATACTACCAATATTCCTCTATGTATCTTTCATTGTATATTTTTTGTGATTGTTAATCGTAAGCCTAAAGAGCTCAGAGAATTCATCTATTTTGGTATTGAATATACCAAATATAATTCTGTTACTAGTATTTCTTATGTAAATATGCAGATGATAGTTCTTTATCATACGGGTTCTTTAAGATTTCAAAATTATTTAGACTATTCAGGTTCAAATATTAAATTAGGCAATATGTATTTTGTATCGGGTTTCTTTAAATTTTTAATATCTGGCAAGATGATGATTAAGGCAACCGATATCGACTATTTGAAAACTGCAACTGTTACTTATAATACATGTGAAAATTATTCTTTGACAACTCCTAGTGCTCAATCAATCATTGATGTCATTGCTGATGATATTGAATCTACTCTAACTCAAGTTTCAAAAGTTGTTGAATCTATGATCTTCTCGGTTAACCATAATGCTGCTGCTACCCCAGGTCTATCAAAAAATTTGATAGACGTTACAAATCCTTATGTGCAAATTGATTCACCCTGTAAGAGAAATCAAAAATATTCATCAAATTATATTGACTTAGATACTCAAGATGAAGAAGAGAAGCAATTAGATTATGTTGATAATGATAAAGATACAGAATTAGACGAAGAAAAAAACCAACCTAAGAAAAGAAAAAGAAATGTTAGAATAACCAAGAAAGAAACAAAAAAAAAAGTAAAAAATAAATGTTATTTATCTTATATCTTTTATTGTAACTTGTAATATATAATTCGATGAAGTATTTTTTTTTTTAATAAATATAAGTTAGTATCAGTCTTCTGGTAAATTTCTAAAAACACATGAGATTAATATATTATGAAAAAATTTTATGTCATATAATTTAAAGTTATTAAAATAATTTGACGTAATTATAAAAATTAATACATAATATAAAAAAGTCGAATAAATATTTGAGAAAATTCATATAATAATTATGATTAATCAGAGCCTAATGATATAGATCAATAGATATTAATTTAAAATTAACCAAAATCATATGAGCCAATGAACCCAATCCTAAATTAAAATCAAGAGTACAGTTTTAAGTAATCTATCATTACGTAAAGATTTTTTCCATTATTATTATTTTACCAATTCTTTATTTTATGTTCTTTAATATTTAGCGTTAGTTTTAATAATATAATTCTTGCTTTTTGATCGACTTTTATACATAAATATTGAGTGAAAGAAACATATGAGCAGATTTTTTGATTTTGTGATTATGTGATATTTTATAAAATTTAATTGATATTGTATAACTCCGTTAAAGTAGAATTGTTGTTATCTTAACTATTATTCATTTATTAATCACTTATAAAACTGTTTAGATTGGTCGATTCTTTTTTTTAGCTATAAATTACCTACCAATAAAATTGATTATAAAGCCACTTTATAAATCATTTATGATTTATTACATATATCTTAATTTTAGTGATCACAATATTCCCTTAAAAATTTTGCTCATATGATATGACAGAAATGATACAATACAATTTTTAAGGGTTTAGGTTAACAATTCGGGATAGTCAATTATTCAATAAATATAGAATAATTGTGATTAGGCTTAACAATAGCAAGGTAATTAGATAGTTATTATGTGGGAGATAGATAAGCTTCATTAAGAAATCGATTGTATAATAATGCAATACAAATATAAATAATTCTATATTAATAAAAGAAATCAATAAAAAGATAAGAAAATAAGTAAAAAAATATACAATAAATCAAAAAATATAACAAAAAAACAATAAACAAGTAAAAAAACAATAAGATAAAAGATATATCCAAAAATATCGATGAGAAATCTAATAAATTCAAAATCGAAGTCTAAAGAAAAGCAATGCAGAAACAAATTTTATAAATATAGATCTTGATAGTACAGATAAACGGTAATCTGAATAATTTAAACTTAATACTGCTTCATTATATTTTTCATCTCAGAGCATTGCTATTGTATCACATGTTAATACATATATTGTAACTGTAAAAAATAGTATAAAATGAAAACTAATCTAACAAGGGTCATTATTACACAAAATCTAACAATAAAATACATCGATTCAAGTAAAATCCATCTTCTATACCCTAACTGGTAGGCTTTGATCGAGGTATGGTTTGATTTGGTCTGAAAATAGAGTATATTTTGATACTGAGACTAGTTTCAAGGTCTGCTTATTATCTCTTGAACTTGAATTTGTTAGTAATACTAATGCTTATTACTGCTTGCAACCCTTTTTACTAATATTTATTATAGAAGCTTCTCTTTTATTCAAAGTATATCTGGGTTCCAATTGATTTTCAGGTTTCAAATTTTAGTATTATATATTACTAGATCATGACCCAGGGCAATTATGTATATATTGTTTATTAACAATGGGGTTAAATTAATTTAACGGTTTTATATACATAGAGATCGATTACTAACATGATCTCTTTTTCTTACTTCTAACATGCTAACAATAACTGGTCTTTACTAATTACAGGGACAAGAAAATATGATAAATGATTTATGTGAATGATTTATTATCAAGTGGAAACTTTAAGAGAACTACTACTCATATACTTTTATAGTTATAAACTCTAAGGGGTTATCCTTTATTTTCAGTGAAATAGCAGTGCTTAGATACATTTTTACACAGTACTAATTTACTATGAACTTTTCTGCTATAATGATCATATCTGTTCTATAGAACCTATTTAACCTATATGACAAATCTGACATATATAACATATCCGACATATCAGCCCTTTTTGGCAGATTTGGCATATTTGAACCAATTTGGGTTAGATCGATCTAGACGATTTTTACCTGTACGTATGTATAGTACCTGCTATGTAAATCGCATAATGGGGTTGTAGATCATAATTTTCAAAAAAGATTAATTACACGTACGATTTACAAGGCTTAGGTATTATCACTAGAATATTCTGGTAGTAATAACGCAAATGCAATGTGAAGAAGATTCGTGAAGAAATGATGTATAGAGGAGAAAACCTGAATGTTTGAAGAAAGGAACATCAAGATTAGCGTGATTAATAAACGTGTTAGGGAGTTTAGTAAGATTAGTAATAATTCATTCTCAAAGTCTCATACTTTTTATTTATTATAAAAAAGCTTTGATTTGTTGCAATAAAGAATAAGAACTCGTATCAATAATCTTAAGAAATATTATACAATTATACATTTATATCATTTCATATCTCCGCAGCCATGGTAAATATTATAACTAGAGATGAATCAAGAAAAATAAAAAATCGCAAACGAAAAGCTATCAAGTATAAAGATAGCTTGTTTAGAAAATCTGAAAATAATAAACAAAAAAATCGTCAAGCTAATCACTATCAAAATGAAGAATATGCTTAGTCACATAATATAATACAAAAAAATTCTTGAAAACGTCAAAAAATATTAATTAATTCTTTAGCAAAAAATTTAGTTATTCCTTCACGCATTCTTGAGATGGATCAGCATTTTGAAAAAACTCATACTAAGTACGCAACATGGTCTTGACCAATTCATTCTGAAATAAAGAAAAATGTAATAGCCAAATTTCGCGATAAGATCAATTTTAGCAAGTTACGAGAACTACTCTGTGCTATTTGTTCCAGACTTTATTCTCATAAAAACTATAAAAGAATTTCTGTAATAGATATTGACCTTTTTATACTTAAAGCATCAATCGATCTTATAGATCTGTTATTTGAAATTGATTTTAATTATCAACATTCTTATATTAACTCTATTGAAACTAATATTCTTCTTGATCATTCTGATTTTATTTATAACGATTCACTGAATAATAATTCCTTTAATCTATGTATCTGCAATGAATGCTATAATTATTTAAAAAAATATAAAATTCTACCATTATCGCTAGCTAATCATATGTGGATTGGACCTACCCCATTGTGCCTTCAAGATTTAACAATTTCTAAACAAATTATAATTTCTCAAGGATATTTGTGCATGAATCTTATTCAATTAACAAAAGAAAACATACATATTACAAACTTAAGAGACATGTTGTAACATTACTCCAGAATCCAATCTCACTGATTAAAGTATTACTATTACTGATATACAAACTATATGAACATTTGAAAGTAGTATTCATTGGAAAGGGAATATCTACTAATTACCAGCTCAAAAAAATACTTCAAGTAAGAAAAAGCAAAGTTATAACTGCACTTCAATGGCTCTTTGCACACAACAAATTATTTAAGAATAATTTTATACTTGATGAAAATGCTCTAAATCTCTTACCCGAAAGTGAAATTCCTAAATCTTTAACTTTAATGACTACTGTAGTGAATATCGATTCACGAGAAGTTGAACACTATACAGGTTATACTCAAGAAATGGATAGCAAAAGTGATTATGAAGCTTCTGATAATAATGATCATGATTTAGATAACTTTATAAAAAACAATACGATTAGGGATGCAAGCGAATTTAGGCCTTTCGGAATTATATATATTGACAATATACCGATTACTAAAAGAGAGCTTACTTTGTATTCTTTACAAAATCTTATAGACTATTCAAACAATCAACCTAATAATCAATTACAAAATGAATATAGTGCTGAAATAGGAGCTATATCTCAAATATTATATGTACCGCATAGCCGTAAACCTTTTAATGAATATGAAGACAAGACTCTTTTTCTAGCAGGATTTCTGGTTCTTTTTCTATATGGTGTCGGAGGTCATGAAAGTCGATTATTCCATATATCTTTAAAAAAATATTCTAATTACCTTATGCAACATTATGATCCAAAGTTTAGACAGCATAGATCATTTTCCTTTGTTATTTTTAATGTTTTACAATGACGAGAAGTATTAGCTGAAACATATAACTTAACTAAAAAGAAAAACTTTGAATATTCTGCAAGATTGATATTATCACTTAGCCTTGGTAATATAAAATTAGCTATTAAACAAGAATATAACAAGCATCTAATTACAAATCCTGCAATTAATGAGTTGCTTAAAAATATTAATGTAGCTGGCTCTAATTTAATGGTCTCTTCCCAATCACGTGTCTGTATATGCAATGAAATATACACTATTATCCTTCGTGATGGTTCTTCTTCCCTGTTTATTATCATAAATCCTACTGATCTTTATAGCTCTATTGTTATGGTGTATGCTGGAAATGAGATTGATTTAGAAAATATATCTTCTAAAAATTTTCCAATAGCTACAGAAAGGGCTCGACTCGTGTATCTTGATCCTTTAGCTACTGCTAAATATTTTGATATTATAGTTAGATACATTTTAGATACTATTGTTGGGTATGGTAAAAAACATGGTGGTATTTTTGGTAATATAAAAAATTATTATGGCATTGTCGAGTATTAAGATCGCAGAACACCTCATTATCATTTGCTTATATGGATTTATGGCTCACTTAATCCAATTGAGTTACATCGAAAGCTTAAAGATGATGATACCTTTTTACAACAGCTACTTACATATATAAGTGATATTGTTAAAGAAGATATTGGCTAGCTGCTTAAAAAAAGCAAAATTTTGACTGATGAAATACTTGAAAGAGAATATAAACCTCCAAAAATGATAGAAGAAAAGCGAATGCATCCTTCTTTTTTTCTTATTCTGGATCTTGAATCATCTGATTTTGAAGAAAATTTTTATTTAGATTTACTCACGATTGCCAAATGCACTTTATATTATCATTGTACTCAGTCATGTAAAAAGTATAATAGAGGCTTACAAAAACATTGTAGATTTGACTTTCCAAGAAAACTTGTTAACTCTCCTGGTCTAATCTTTCCCAATCAAGGCATTATTGCTATTCAATGTACTAATGCCTTTATTAATAATCATAATCTGTATATAACATCTGTGTGTAGAAAAAATAATGATATAAAATTTATCACTTCTAGAAAGCTCTCTTTAGTATACATATACCATTTAACAGATTATATTACTAAATTGGATCTAAGCACACATAGCTCTTTTTTAATTTGTGCTTCAACTCTAGAATCCTTTTAAAGCAACCTTCTGATAAATCTTCGTTCAATCTCGTAAGTAGATTCCGTAAAATTATAACAAAGTGTCTTAATAAAATATCTGGTCAAACTGAGCTTACAAGTCCACAAGTTTTGGCATATTTATTAAACATTTGTGATCATTATACACCAAATAAATTCATCACAATTTGTTTTAAAACTTTTGAAACGTATCTTACAAAAGAATGGACAAAGCATATTCAGAATAGTAGCAAAAATATTGATGACTCTGATAATGAATCGACTACTGACAGTGATTATGATCGAGACGTAGCAAATAAATCCTTTTTTATATCTTCATTTAACAGAAAATTAACTATCACAAATCTTCGTATTGATTACTAATTCAGAGGTTCATATCTATGTAATATATATTTATATAACTATGCTGCTACTATTCAGAAAGTTCTAATTAATTCGCGTGAACTTTCAATATTAACGGGTTAATGTTCAAGAGAGAGAAATAATCGCTATTTTTTTTGAGGGTATGATTTTACAGATAATTATCTTGAATCAAATGATGGTTATCCTTAAAATAAATCACATATCCAAAGATTTAGAAAAAAAGAATCTGAAAGAGTAGTCATGTTGAGTAGTAAAGATTTATCAAAAAAAGATGATATAGAGAATATTGAGCGCTACGCGCTATGTATTCTTATGCTATTTAAACCGTGAGAAACTGTTATGACTTGCGAGAGAATTATGATACATGGAATGACGCTTGTCAATCCTTTTTAAATAGTTCATCTTTATCACCACATCTGAAATCTGTAATTTTTAATATAGAATTACTGCATCGATATTTAGAAGAGACTACTCTTGACCGAGAATTGCATCAATATGCAATAAATGATCCAATTTTTGCAAAAGCTTGCCATATTGATCATTCTGTTCCTAGGTACGATAGAACCTCAAAGATCTCTGATATAACTTAAAAGTTACTAAAAAAGGAAATTTTGCGTAGAAATTCATCAAACATTGTATTTTTATATAGTAAATTTTTAAATTTTGGCTTATTTTATATGTCTATTTGGCTGATATTATACAAACTCAGATCTAAGTTATATCAGAAATCTTTGGGGTCCTGGTACGATGCCGATGATAAACCAGATATTTTAGATAATGATGACCTAATAGCTGATAACTCTTCTGGTGAAGATTCTCTTAATTTTGATCTTGCAAAAATTATTAAATTTGGTCTAAAAGATATAAGAATAGTAGATAATGCTATGAACTTTTTACGGCTCAGAGAGGACCCTGAAGATCTTTGATATAACTTAGAGATTACTAAAAAAGAAATTTTGCGTAGAAATTTATTGAACATTGCATTTTTATATAGTAAATTTTTAAATTTTGGTTTATTTTATATGCCTATTTGGCTGATATTATACAAACTTAAATCTAAGTTGTATCAGAGTTTTTCAGGGTCCTGCTCAGGGCAAGATTTAATATAAGAAATTCTGTATCATGTGTTTCAAAAATTAATAATAATATTAGCTTACAATACATACATCAAAGTAATATTCATGATGATAACTTTTTAAAAATTTGGCGTTCAACAATTATTTCTCGAAAAATGTTTTAGAAAATTTCTAGTAATAACAATACAAAAGACAAAACTTTTTTGAATGCCTATATCGATTTTCCAAATCATGATTCTCATAACATTCCCTTGGATATATATACAAATGAGTATAAAGATCCCTTAGAACAATTCACATCAGATTTAAATAACGAACAAAAAAAAACCTATTTTCTTGTTTGTGATTATCATCATAGAAACCATCCGATGAGTAAAAATAAACCATCTCAATTACTATTATTTCTCACTAGTGCAAGTGGCGTAGGTAAATCCAAAGTCATCGATGCTATCTGTTCTTACTTTAAATATAATTCTCAACAAAATACTCTTCTTGTTCTAG